AACATGAAGTTCTGTCTCCTCCGAGACCCTTTGGACCTCAGCACCTCCGGGATCAGCTGACCCCAGACGAGGATCAAGGCCTTTTTTCCTGAACCGTATCTAGCTGTGGTTCTAAAGTTTTTTCCAGGACTGATCCTGCAGGGACTCTGAGTCCGGCTGATGTTTCGGGTCGACCCTCGTGGTTTTTCTGTGGTCCATACCGATGTTTATCCACAGTCCAGATGCAGGACCCAGGGATTGATACAGTTTGTATTGCAACATTTGGTTCTGATGCTGGAAGAGTCCGTATGTTTGATAGAAGGCAGGTGTAGCGTCTGTTCCCAAACACATGGATCCTGGAGGACAGAGGTCTCCAGCCCTGGTCTTCGTGGGTCACTGTCCTCCAGGTTTCAGCAGTTTCTCTGCTTCTGACTGAAAGAACTGATTCACGTCGTCAGAATAAACCTGCAGGACAGTGGCCCACGAGGACCAGGGTTGGGGACCTCTACTGTAGAGACAGTTTAAGGATGAAGGGTGATCAGGTTTCAGCTCTTTGTCTGAAGTTGAACTTCCTGAAGTCTTGATCCCGAAGAGACGCTGAATTGATGAAAGACCTCAGAGTTGGAGCACGTTTCAAGTCTGGATTAAAATCCAAACATCATCGGCAGACAGACTGATCTCATATTGTTGGGCTGTTTAGATGTCGACAGGCCTGCGGTTCCTCCAGGTTCCCCGGGGGTCTCGGAGGCATCTGTACCCAGGGCAGGAGCTCCCAGCCTGTCCTCACGGCCTCAGCTGTGGGGTCATGGGGGGGAGACAGCCCTACCTTGTACCCAGCACCGTTCAGGAGGATCCAGAACTGTCTTTCAGAAGCGAGTGTAGCCGCCATCAGAGCCACATCAGGTCTGTGGGTTTGGGTCAGATTGGCCCCTGGGAGCCACGACATTTATTTGACCGTAACATGAATAAATGTTGGATTCCCTGAAACACACGAGCAGAACACGACTTCAAACTCCTCGACTGAAAGGCCCGCCTGGTTCTGACGGACCGTCTGAACAGGCTTTGGGACTCCAGCTTTGTCTCCAAAGCTTCAGGTGGACTCTGCGGCTCTGCACTGATGAAATGTTTAAGGAGAGAAGGTTCACGTGAATAAACGAGTCGGAAGTGTCAGCTGATTGAATAATCTGATCTAATCTGAAATCTGTTTGAAGTTTCTGCTGGTGTCCTCCAGGGAGCAGTGTTGGGTCCAAGACGTCTTAAATCTGAGAAGCTTCTGGTCTGAAATGTTGAAATAAATAGAATCGAAGCTGCTAAATAATCCCAGAATGAGGCTCGTTAATCTGAGCGGCAGCGATAATCTGGTGTGAGATGTTTATTAATGAGGTTTCTGTCTGCCTGCAGTGGGTCTGGATGCTGCTGGAAAAACAACAATCCTTTACAAACTCAAGCTGGGAGAGATCGTCACCACCATCCCAACAATCGGTAATGATCAATAATCAATCAGATTTGCAGCTTCCTCTTTGATCCGTTCTCCTCCAGAAGTGAAGAAATCCCTCACTCCCAAGATTCTGTTGTTCTGTTCCCACACGAGCTCCTGGAACGGAGCCACCCAGACCGTGGCCTGCGTGGACCGCGGTCTGCGTGGACCTCGGTCTGCGTGGACAGCGGTCTGGGTGGACCGCGGTCTGCGTGGACCGCGGTCTGCGTGGACCGCGGCCTGGGTGGACCGCGGTCTGCGTGGACCGCGGTCTGCGTGGACAGCGGTCTGATGATGTAACAGAACTTGAAGTGGATCTTGTCTCTGAGCAGTCAGGACTTCAGAGGGGCTGAATGTTCTTGGCTCGTGACTGATGGAGACGCGTCTGTGGGGGACACGTGGAGAACGCTGTGCGGTCAGCGTCTCACCTGCAGCGTCACCAGGTGCGTTTGTGTTTCAGGGTTCAACGTGGAGACGGTGGAGTACAAGAACATCTGCTTCACGGTGTGGGACGTGGGCGGTCAGGACAAGATCCGGCCTCTGTGGAGACACTACTTCCAGAACACGCAGGTACGTCAGGGCCCGGTGGGCCACCCGCCAGGTTCTGTTTGGGCTCTGGTACCAGCGGGCCAGGTTCTGCTTGGTGGCACAGAACCGGGTCTCCAGTCAAAGGCTCAAGAAGTCAAATCACGAGGTCGTCCATCTTTGTTTTGATGAAACTGGATAATCACAACTCCTGTGGAACCACAGCCGAAATCTGTCAGAGAAGCTAAAACTGAGGCACAACCAGCAGAAGCTAAAGTTGTCATAACTACAGCTGAATGCTAGCTAGAAGTAGCATACTGACTGAGCACCCTGCAGCTGAAGGAGCCTCTGTTTAGCCTGTTTGACAAATTGATTATTGATTTGGAAGCTGATGAGTCCGTGGATCAATAACTGATGGGTGAACAGCTGGTCCAGTCAGATGATCAATAGTCTATTGATTGTCACTGACAGCTGAGACTTTGACTTATCGATCAGTGATGGGTTTGATTGGCGGCTCGGCTGATGTCATTGTGTATTGATCGGTGATTGGTTTGTCTTCAGGGTCTGATTTTCGTGGTGGACAGTAACGACAGAGAAAGAGTCGCTGAATCAGCCGAGGAGCTCTCCAAGATGGTGAGTGGCCCCGCCCACTGAGGTTCCGTCTCAGCCAATCGGAGCCCATCATTTAACACTGATGTGACATCACGGGTCATGTGACTCCTCTCAGATCCAGGAAGACGAGCTGAAGGACGCGGTTCTCCTGGTGTTTGCAAACAAACAGGATCTTCCCAACGCCATGGGGGTCAGCGAACTCACCGACAAACTGGGCCTGCACAGCCTCCGCAGCAGAACCGTAAGGATCCATAATCTATACTTTCCAGTACCAGAACCTTCTGGTCTGACTCGATATTCATCAGAACCGTTAAAAACCAAAAGCTGAACCACTAGAAGCAGGTTTTTATATAAAACACAACCAGCTGAGGTCCCACCGGTTCTCTGGACTAAGCTGCAGTCACAGAACAATCTGGGCCCACTGAGGTGGGCAAAGACTGAAAGGTGCCGTTCTAAATAAAATCCTGTTTGGATCTCACCATGAAAACTAAAACTCTAGTTGATGGAGAACCAGATCCTGAATTCTGATCCGCACTGACCACCAAAAACCCAGATGAGGTCTGGAGGCGTTTCAAGAAGGAACCGATCTGAGTCCAAGGCTCCTGTCCAACCAGTCCCCGGGTCGAGCCTCATCACGAGCAGAACCTGAAGTCGTTGCAGTCGGACCTAAAAAATCCGACCTGGCTCGAACCCGTATCATTTTTTCTGAAACTGACCAATTAATTAACTGGTGACAGCCCGAACCCAAAAAGATTAAGCTTTTACTGCTTTTGTAACAAACCAGTTTGACATGATTTAAAAACATGTTTCAACGAAAGGAAGATTTAAGATTTATTGTTTATTAAGAATCAGTGGATTATTGTACTTATTATGACGGCATACCCATCATTATGACGGCATACCCATCATTATGACGGCATACCCATCATTATGACGGCATACCCATCATTATGA